CATTCAGAATTGAAGGTCAGATAAAGAACTTCACAGATAAGAAGAAGTTAAAGGAGTTCATCACCACCAAACCAGTATTATATGAAATGCTGAAAGGTATTCTTTAAGAAGAGGAAGGAGAAGAAAAAGGTAAAGATAAAAATTATGAACAACAAATATGTATCTATCAACAAATGAATCTAAAAATCAAGTTAATAAAAAAAATCTGATGAACAGAATAATCTGGTGAATATAATAGAATCAGGGGCATAGAAAATGAGTGGACTGACAATCCTCAGGAGGGTTAGGGGTGTGAGGGGTGCGGGGGGTGCGGGAAGAGACTGGACAAAAATCATACACCTATGGATGAGAACAGTGGGGGTAGTTAAGGGCAGAGGGTGGGGTGGGAACCGGGTGGAGGGGAACTATGGGGTGGGGGGAAGAAAGAGGAACAATTGTAATAATCTGAACAATAAAGATTTATTAAAAAAATAAAAAAATAAGGAAAGAGGAAAAGGTAGGATGAACCCTGTGATATTGAACTGGAATTGGAAGTATCAGTTTTGAACTTGTGTGTCAAAAATAGATGCAGACACAAGTAGACAGAGAAATACACATAGTTGTATATAAACATATATTTTATTGTTCTGTCAGCTGTGGGGACCTAGAAGCAATGATACCCAATACTAATGAGCAGATCTTGCACCCAATCTTCATTTCTAAATGCCATTCTTTAATAAAGAAATCAGAGCTTTTGTAGAAATGATTCCCAGGACTAGGATGGACAAATTATAAGAGAAATACCTGTGCCAGAACATCTTGTGTGAGAAGGTAAGGAAGTACTAAACAAAACAAAAACACACACACAAAAAAAACCCACACAAGATGAGGTCTAGCCCTAACCGGTTTGGCTCAGTGGACAGAGAGTTGGCCTGCGGACTGAAAGGTCCCAGATTCGATTCCGGTCAAGGGCATGTACCTTGGTTGCGGACACATTCCCAGTGGGGTGTGTGCAGGAGGCAGCTGATCAATGTTTCTGGCTCTCTACCTTCCTCTCTGTAAAAAATCAATTAAAAAAAAAAAAAAAAAAAAAAAAGATGAGGTCTATATTTAACAGCTGTGTAATGAATTACCACAAACTTAGCACCTGAAAAATGCATCCTCTTGTTAACTCAGTTTTGAAAGTCAGAAGTCCAACTTGACATGCAAGGTTCTCTGGAGTATCTCAAAACTGAAGTCAAGGTGCCAGCCAGGTTGTGTTCCTTTTGAAGGCTCTAGGGAAGGATCCACTTCCATGTTCATTCAGGTTGCTGAGGTCAGATCTTGAGGATGTATCAATAGAACTGAGGTCCCCGCTCTGGCTGGCCATGGGGACTCACTCTCTGCAGGCTGCTCTAAGGTCTTTGTCACGTGGCTCCCTCCATCCTCAAAGCCCAAAGAGTTACTCTCCTATTGAATCCCTCCCACACTTTGACACCTCACTGACTTCCCGGCTCTGACCTCTCCACCATATTTAAATGGGCTCATATGATTAGGTCAGGCCCACCTGAATTGTCTCCCTATCTTAAAGTTAACTGGTTTGGGACTTTAATTATTGGGTCGGCAACTAAGTAATTGCGGGTTTCACACATATATGGCTTCAGTTGAATTTTTAGGTTTGCAGACGTAGTACAAATGTAAAACACATTTTGTTATTTGATAGTTGGCTATTCAGCTGTTAATCAGTAAAAAAAGTTTTTTGATCTGTTTTGTAGTTTCATTTGGCGTTTGTTGAAAAATGGAAAATCAAAAGGAACATTTTCGTCATATTTTGCTTTTTTATTTCCGCAAAGGGAAAAACGCATCGCAAGCTCATAAAAAGTTATGTGCTGTTTATGGTGACGAAGCCTTAAAAGAACGGCAGTGTCAAAATTGGTTTGCCAAATTTCGTTCTGGTGATTTTTCACTCAAAGATGAAAAACGCTCTGGTCGTCCAGTTGAAGTTGATGAAGCCCTAATCAAAGCAATAATCAATTCGGACTGTCACAGTACAACACGTGAGATTGCAGAGAAGCTTCATGTATCACATACATGCATTGAAAATCACTTACAACAACTTGGCTATGTTCAAAAACTCGATACATGGGTTCCTCACGAACTGAAAGAATCACAGTTAACGCAACGCATTAGCAGCTGCGATTTGCTAAAGAAACGTAATGAAAATGATCCATTTTTAAAACGACTGATAACTGGCGATGAAAAATGGGTTGTTTACAACAATATCAAGCGGAAAAGATCGTGGAGCAGGCCGGGTGAACCAACTCAAACAACATCAAAAGCTGATATTCATCAAAAGAAGGTTTTGTTATCAGTTTGGTGGGATTACAAAGGAATTGTCTACTTTGAACTCTTACCACCCAACCGAACAATCAATTCTGATGTCTACATTGAACAACTAACAAAATTAAACAATGCAGTTGAAGAAAAGCGGCCCGAATTGACAAATCGAAAAGGTGTTGTATTCCATCATGACAATTCAAGGCCACACGCATCTTTGGTCACTCGGCAAAAATTAATGGAGCTTGGTTGGGATGTTTTGCCACATCCACCATATAGTCCTGACCTTTCACCATCTGATTACTTTTTGTTTCGATCTTTACAAAACTCCTTGAATGGTAAAAATTTCAATAATGATGATGATGTCAAATCGTACCTGATTCAGTTTTTTGCTAATAAAAACCAGAAGTTTTTTGAACGTGGGATTATGATGCTGCCTGAAAGATGGCAAAAGGTCATTGATCAAAATGGGCAATACATTACAGAATAAAGTTGTTTAGTTCCATGAAAAAATTTTTTCTTTAAAAAATCCGCAATTACTTAGTTGCCGACCCAATTCATCTGCAAAATTCTTCACAGTAGTGCCTATATTAGTCTTTGATAGAATAACCAGGGGCTGGGAAATTTGGTGCTCATTCTAAGGAATTCTGCCTACCATGAGTTCATAACAAAAGAACACAAGATATAGCAACCAAGAAATATGAAGTGCTAGAATATTATTAAGTATTTGGACTCCAGATAATTTAAGAGCTGAAGTTCTTTCAAAGTAATCTTCTCAATGAACTTAAGGTATTTTCAGAGATCACTAATAGTTTATGTATGTATGTATATATGTACATATGTATGTATTACTTGTCATCTATGAGAAAGATAGTGAAGAGCATTTCGAGAGAGAAATGTAAGGTCCAATATGGGTTCAATCTGTGCCTCTGCCTCCTGGTATAATGTACTGAGAAGGATACATCATCACTTCTATGGAGTTCTTACCAAAAATGCATAATTGTGAGAAATATTAGGCAAATAGAAACTGAGGGGCATCCTACAAAATAACTTTTCAAAAAGTGCCACGGTCATGAAAAGCAAAGAAATCTCAAGGGACCGTTTGGTTAAAGGAGACTAAGGAGATACTAAAACTAAATATAACAAGTGACCATGGATTGAGTTCTGGGCCAGAAAAAGGATGCTAGTGAAATGGCAAAATCTGATTATAGTTCACTAGAGGCCCAGTGAATGACAATTCGTGCACCCAGGGGTCCCTCAGCCCAGCTGCACTCTCTCGCAGTCCAGAAGTCTTCAGGGGATGTCAGGCACTGTTCTGGGCACTAGGAAAAGCAGTAAACAAAAATGAACACTTTCCTACTGCCAGATCAAAGAGAAGGTTAGGAAGTTTACCATTTTAGTATTTTTTAAAATATGCTTTTGATTTCTAGAGAGGGAGAGGAATAGAGACAGAAACATCAGAGGTAAACAACTGGCTGCCTCCTGCACACTTGTCTCTAGAAATAGAGCCTACAACCCAGGCATGTGCCTTGACTAGGAACCAAACCAGTGAACTCTTGGTTCCTGGGTTGACACTCAACCACTGAGCAACATCAGCCGGAATACCATTTTATTTGTATTCCCGCAGTACTTTAATTGCTTCCTCATTTGCTAACCTTGCTCTTTCTTCAATTCAAATTTTTATCCTGAAATATCTTGTAGCAACTGAAAGTGGAATGAAGAGGAACTATAGGAGCCTAGCTGGTTTGGCTCAATGGGCAGATGTTGGCCTACAGACTGAAAGGTTCAGGGTTAGATTCTGGTCAAGGGCACATGACCGGGTTACAGGCTGAATCCCCAGTAGGAGGTGTGCAGGAGGCAGCTGATCAATGATTTTCTTATCGTTCACTAGAAGCCCCGTGCACAAAATTCATGCACTCGGTGGGTGAGGGTATTTCTCAGCCCAGATTGTGAGAGGGCACAGGCCAGGCCAAGGGTGCACGATTGGGACCAGGAAGGGATGCGGGAGGTTGGCTAGCCAGGGAGGGCTCCAGGGCATGTCCTGTCTATTTTGCTCAGTCTTGATCCGCCAGACCCCAGCAGCAATCTAACCTACTGGTTGGAGCGTCTGGCCCCTGGTGGTCAGTGCACGGCATAGCGAGCAGTTGAGCGGCCTCATTATGTCATTAGCATATTACACTTTTATTAGTTGAATGGCCAATGGAATGACCGGACACTTAGCAAGCATATTAGGCTTTTATTACATATCGATAGGATGTTTTTCTCTCCCTCTCCCTCTCTCCTTGAAATCAATAAAAAAATATATATATATTAAGCCGAAACAGGTTTGGCTCAGTGGTAGAGCGTCGGTCTGCAGACTGAAAGGTCCCGGGTTCGATTTCGGTCAAGGGCATGTACCTTAGTTGCTAGCACATCCCCGGTAGGGGGTGTGCAAGAGGCAGCTGGTCAATGTTTCTCTCTCATCGACGTTTCTGGCTATCTCTATCCCTTCCTCTCTGTAAAAAATCAATAAAATATATTTAAAAAAAAATATATATATATAGTATTAAAAAAAATAATATGTGATGGGGAGTGGGAGGGAAGAGGAACTATAGGAAGCACATTGATTCTAATTATATTTTTGTACCTACAATAAGGGTATTATAAGAATTAAACAAGATGATGCAGGTACTCAGTATATAATTTGACAATAAACACAATCTCTCTTGAGGTAGATACTATTTATTGTTTCTTATTTACAATGAAGAAATCTGGGGCTTGGATATGAGAAAGAACCTGCTTAATGTTACATGGGTAGAAAGTGGCAGTATAAGACTTTGAACCATGTCTGATTCCAAAGCCTTAACTTTCAACCACAATACTATACAGTTTGCTATCTGTTCAATAACATTCTTATTAATGTCAACCCATCTTTAAATTCCGCAGTGCACATGAAACATTGTTCTTTTTCCCTCTCATTGGCATTTATCCATCCTTCTTGGATTTTGAATATCATTAACCACAAAAAAAATACACAAGGACAACTTAATTACAAAGCCAACATTCTAGAATACAATACAAAATTAACTTCATCATTGATACTCATATAACTCAAATACAATGAAATGGGAGCTACCGAATAATTTAGTTGTAACAAAGCCATCAACAGGGCAAAATAAAAATAAAGCTAATTAAGAGGCATTGCTTCAGCTCAAATTAGTTATCTCCTATAAACAACAGGATCAGTGCTTTAAAAAAAAAAAATAGCTATATCTAATGTCCACATCAGAACAATTGAGAATCTCTCAGGCAAAGATTTGTGAAGTATTGCCAGTGTTGAGAACTACAAGTGTATAGTAAGAAGCAATAAAAACCATGTCCTGAAGGCAATTTGAAATCAAGAAACTTAAAAAAAGAAATAAACTTTCCTCTTATCTTGGGAAAGAGTGGAGGGAAATATCTACTCATTTTTCATTGTTCTTTATTCATTTTTTGATAGCCCAAAGTAGAGTTTAACAAACATCAGATATTAGAAGTTATGCAAACATGCAACCCACATTGAAATTCTCACTACTTCACATTTAGAAAGCTTTTATATTTTTTGGAAAGCTCTTTTAAAACAATACCACTTTCTGAAAATGCCTCACATTTTAAATTTGCATAGATGTTTAAGTCAGCTATCTGTTCAACTAGGAAGAGTCAATAAAGTGTATTAAAGAGCATTTTATTAAGTTATGATAAAACAACATTCATTTCATGTAACACAAATTAACAATTTTGTTGCAGAAAGGACTATTTGAGTCTTTCCTACCTGTTTCTAAAACTTGCAATTTATAAGATTGATATCTTCAAATTTAGAATCTAGACATAACTTTTAAGAATGCACACATAAAATACTTTCTCTATAACTGTACTATATCACTGACAAATCCTATTGGGAGTTTCAGTACCGACTGTAGGCATTTATCATTAAAACAACTCCTCGTTTTTCAGTTTTGGGAATGAAATAACATTAAGTATGGAAAATAACTTTTATCCTTAAGAATATGCAAGTCACTTAGAGATGTTCTCTCAAATTCAGAAAAAAACATTGCTTCAGTTCCTCTGTCAGGACTCCATGTCAATCTCAACCACTTCATCCTTGCCTTGAAGCCTTGCTTCTGTAAGGTTATCTTCATTTAGAGCTTCAATGTCTGCCAGATCAATAGGTGGTAAAGGATTCCTCCAGTACTGGAAGGTGTTATACTGCCAAAATTCTTCATTGATCTTTAGGGGGGAAGAAAAAAAGAAAGTATATCAATGGCTTAGAAAAAGTTTAAAAAATTATTTTCAGGAAACAAGTTTGTGTGTGCGTGTGTGTGTGTGTGTGTGTGTGTGTGTGTGTGTTTTAAAGGAAACTCGTGTAAGATTTTACAGTCTTTGTATCTTCAACATTTTTAATTCTATTTCAAAGTATTTTATGGACTCAGTCAAAAGTATTTATTAGTTTAAATTTAAAATAATTTCTTTCAATAGTATCCTTCTGACAATTTCCATTCTCAACCAAAGAAAATGTTTGCAAACAGTCTTAAAATGTTTACCTTCAGCGAGAAAACATTTTTATTGAAAAAAATACAGATATATCTTAAAAGTTATTTTTAGTCTTTTTCCCGAGGTTTGGTATTTTAAGGGATTGACTTTACATAGGCTAAAATATTTTGACACCTTCTAAAAAGTATTAGGACACAAACATGCTAAATAGCAAGAAAAACTTAAAACTAATCATTTTTATTAAGATACCATTTGGTACAAAGCATGCCTTTTAAATCAATATAGCAAAATTGTTAAATCCTAACAAGTGAGCACTGGCTCCTTAAACATTTAACAGTTTACTCTGAATGATTATAAAATCATTTCAAGTAACTATGAAGTGAAGCTGATGTTCCAATAAAGTACAAAATTGGCACAGAAGTTCAAAAGCATTCTAAAAATATTTTGTGCAAAGGAAGCAGCATTGGAATAATATAGATTCCCAAGGTGACCATTATCTATCTCAGAAGGGTATCTATATATCTGTATTTATTCTACCATGCTATGTTCCTTTTTTTTTTTTTTTTTTTTTTTTATTTTCTTATGTTATGTTCATATTTGCTAGGGCAGCATTATCCAACAAAAATATAATAGAAGCCACATATATGATTTAAAGTTTTTCTAATAACCACAGTAAAAAAGTAAAAAGGAACAGGTGAAATTAATCTTTAAAAAAAATAAGACGAAATGTTTCATTGCTCTTGATGGTAAATCAAAATATGGTAGTTAATGAAAATGAATGCACTAAATCACACACTGCATTCAGGTGTCTTCAAACTGCGGCCCGCAGAGGAGTCTGATCCGGCCGGCCAGGTTTTTTGGGCAGTGAGCGCAGCCGAGGTGTTACAGTAGGAATTAGTAGTTCATATAGTCCGGCCCTCCAGCTCTCTGAGGGACCGTGATCTGGCCCCCACTTTAAAAAGTTTGAGGACCCCTGAATTAAATCAAAAGAAACACTTCATTGCACACCATCACTGCACCCTCCAGCTTCCCCCTCCGCGCCCTGGAAGCATCACTGTGGTCTGGTCCTAAACTCCCGATCCCCTTGAGTTGCTGCGCTGCCTTCTCTAAGGACACCATGAAAAAGTGCTGTGACAGCCGTGGTCCTGCAACCCTCCCTCTGCCAGGAAGTCACAGAGCTGGGCTAAGGGACCACAGGCAAGTTAAAGGCAGAAGGGACTCGAACCCTCCTCCTTTTCCTCTTTCGCTTCTGAAGAACTCATTTAGCACGCTCCATTTTGGTGTGTCTAAAAACATACAATTGCATGTATCCAGTATAAATCAATAAACCTGGGGAAACAGGTGAAATGGAGAGGCAATGTTTCAGTTAAAATGGTTCAACTAGTGCCAAGGTAACTGGCAAAACTGAGTGCAGCTGAACTGGGCTGGTGACACCTCTGTGATGTGTGAGCAACAGACCAGGCTTTGAGAATAGAATGAATTTCCAAGGACAGGATGCCAATAGGATTCTTTGTCACAACTGTGTTTGGGAGCCCTGGGATGTAGGGGTGGGGGATACATGAAGACCAGGCTTTAGGTGACTTCACCCTCAGCCCCTTTACCACGAAAGGTGCCCTGAGCCTCTTCTTTTAAGGGTCCTGGCAGGGAGGCCAGGCTGCCCAGACTGGCCAGGTGAAATTAATCTTACTGTTTTATTTGGCCCAATATACCCAAACTATTATCATTTTAACATGCAGCCAACATTTTAAAAATTAATGAGATAGTTTACTTTTTTTTGTCACACAGGTTTTTAAAACCTGGCAGGTAGTTTACACTTCTAGCACTATTCAGGCTAGCCATTTTTCAATGCTCATTAGCTGCATGCGGCTGGTTACTTTACCAAAAAGTACAGGCCTATAAGAAAGTCTCATTTAGAAGTTCATTCAGGGCCTCAGACACTAAGGCTTAGAGAATTAAAGAGTCTTTGGAATTTCTTAACACTGGGATAAAAATGCAATAATTCAAAGGATGCCAAGAAAAATTTCATTTTAATAAGCAAATAGGGTTAAAAACAGTATTTCATTGCCACTACCTACTTATAAACATGGGCAACCCCTACTACCCCTCCCCCCCACACACAAAAAAAACCAAAACAGTCATCAGTGTAGCCTAGTATCTAAGAGCACAAACTGCCACTAGACAGACCTGGGTTTGCACGACTCACTAACTCTGATCTTGACCTAAGTGTTTCCTAATCAGTAAAACATACGGCTCTCTTGCAAATTAAGGTTTAGCCCTATTTACTGCTCAGTATTATATCCCAAGAAGTCTTTGAATTATCAATCAACAGGAAACATATTTGCTTATTTTCTGTTAAAAATATCTAATAGTAAGGGTCAGCACTAACAGAGCAACGAACCTGCATAAAGTGACACTAACATGAGAAAATATAAATATTTAATGAATACCTGGTTTTATTTTAGTTCTCTAGAAAAAACAAATCTAAAACAACTCCAAAAATATTCCAAGGTTCTGCCTAGACTGCATCTCCAATATAGAAAGGACATGTTTGCCAAAACCGGTTTGGCTCAGTGGATAGAGTGTTGGTCTGCAGACTGAAAGGTCCCAGGTTCGATTCCGGTCAAGGGCATGTGCCTTAGTTGCAGGCACATCCTCAGTAAGGGGTGTGCAAGAGGCAGCTGGTCGGTGTTTCTCTCTCATTAATGTTTCTAGCTCTCTATCCCTCTCCCTTCCTCTCTGTGGAAAATCAATAAAATATATTTAAAAAAAGAAAAGAAAGGACATGTTTGAGAAAACTCTTCCTAAATGAGATCCAAGGGTAAGGGCACAAACTTAAGGCTTATTCTAGGCACAAAAAGAACCAGGGAGATGTTTACTGCACAAACTGAAAATTATTTTTAACTTCTCCATGTTTCTGTTTTATCCTGTTTTGTCTTTGTAATTGTCTGTACAACCCTTAGAACAAAGACCCTACATCTTTGGAAACAGGGAAGGTGGAGAAAACAGGTCCCTCTCTTAAATTTGCAGGAAAAAAGCAGCTCAAGGAACAGGACTAACAAAAGGAAAGGACATACTAGTAAGGGTTCTTGGGCTTTTGCCAAAAGAGAACAGGAGACTAATCTTGGAGAAGAAGGAACCCTCTTTTTCCTGCCATGAGCTTATAGTGTCTATAGGATGCAGAGAGGACCCAGATGTAGTCACTGCTGAAGGGAAAGACACGGGTAGGAGATGCTAAACAGTAGTGAGGGCAAAGACTTAAGCCTTCGACTAAGCACAAGAACCAAAGAGACACTGACTGCAAAAACTGTGCCAGTTTACTAAAATACTCTCTTTCTTTGCTTACCTGCCATTTCCTCAGTTCCCTCTTTATCAATCTGTGGCAGACTGTAGTCAGAGTATTCTGGTAGGAAAGACAAGGCTATGTATGGGTGGGGTCTGAAAAGAAGAGTTTTCAAATAGGTCTAGATGACTACAGTATTGTTGCTTTTTTGTTTGTTTGTTTTTTAGGTTTTGAATATTGTCCTAGACATGATTTAATTGGAAATTCTAATTCTTTATTCTATTTTCAAAATGTAAGTTCTATCATTCAGTTTTATGCAAGCTGATTTTGAACCTAAAAGCAACCTAAAGAAAAAAGTCTAAATAAGGCTCAGGCTTCCTAAATTCCAAAAAAACTAGGGGTACAAATATTTACAATTTATAATTTCATCCAGAAATGCTTATCAAGGTTAAAGGATAATTTCACAATCACAGGAAAAGATCTTTCCCAACTATTAAACTCTCATCTTACTGGGTTGTTCACCATGAACAAATATTCCAAAGGAACCTCAATTATTTTTGAGGGGTGGGGACAATGAACTATGTATTTGATAAATTCTGCATAAGGTATTTAAGGCAATGGAGAGATATGAGGTGGATGCTATGGTGTAGAAGTTTAAGAGTTTGGTGAAGTCTGAGCCCTGTATTTGGTACTTTCACCCTCAAAGCTCCAAGTCAACAGAGAACTGCAGAAAAGCAATTTGAATTCCTAAAGCTAGACCAAAGCTCTCCAATCTATACTAATAAAAGGGTAATATGCTAATTAGACCGGACATCTTTCCTGACAAAGATGGGGACAAGGCCAACCTGCAAATTGCCCCAGGCCCTCACCCAGGCCAGCACAGCGCCCCAAGGGAACCCCCACCCCAATCAGGCATGTAGCTGGCCTGCAAACTGCCAATGGCTTCTTGCCCAGGCAGGCCCTGTCCCAGCAAGGACCCTATCCTGATTGGGGGTGTGGCCAGCCTGCAAACCCTGAGGCCCCTGCCCTGGCAGCCCTGCTCCCCAGGGGGGACCCCCAACCCCCACCCCAGCCCGGCCCCCTTCAGGGCAGGCCAGCTAGCCCCCACCCATGCAACAGGCCTCTATCCTATTATATATAAGGATAATATGCATATTGACCCTAACAGCAGAAGGACATGACAGCTGGACCAGTCACTGTGAGGCACACAGCTCACCCAATGGCAAACAGGGAACCTGGGTGGGTGGCAGTGGGGGCAGCTAGGGACGATGGCCCTGACCCAGGCAGGCCTGGGGACTGTACCCGTGCACAAATTTCATGTGCCGGGCCTCTAGTAAATATACAATACCAGCCACAAATATAACGAACTTTTCTGGTGGCTGTACTAAAAACACTAAAACAGTGGTCAGCAAACTTACTAGTCAACAGAGCGGCAAGCCTGGGCTTGGGAGCCGCAGTTTGCAGACCACTGGACTAAAAGAAATAGGTGAGATAATTTTTAATCCAGTGTATTCAATCCAGTACCTCCAAGATATTTCAACGTGTAATCAATATAAAATGTTTTGAAACCTCTGAAACGTAAGTATTTGACACTTACAGCTCATCTTCTCACGTGGCCAGTGGCTGCCACGCTGAGCAGCACCCGCCTAGTCAAACCAGAGCTGAGTGCGGAGGGAGATGTGGCAGGCTTATTTCCCCAGAACTGCGAACAAGCCAAAGATCTTCACAGAAGATCCTCATATACCGCAGGGCCCAAGTTAATTTGCAACAACAATCCTTTCCCATAGACTTAGACTTGGCACAGTGAGTTAAAAATACTTTTTCCCAAGATATAGTCACCCTTCCCCTCTACCAAGGAAACACCATGCCTAAAGGACATCCAATGGATAGCTTCCACATTGCTCACCTCTTTAGAAACAAATCATTGTTCAAGCAAAGAAGGCACCCCACCCCTCTCTCAGACATTTGTCGACAACCTGAAACTCGTGGTTCAACGCCTCCCACCAAACTCTATCCAGTGGTCCGCAAACTTATTAGTCAACAGAGCCAAATATCAACGTACGACGATTGAAATGTCTTTGAGAGCCAAAGTTTTTAAACTTTATACAGGTAGGTGCATTGTTATTAACTTAATTAGGGTACTCCTAAGCTGCTGGCCTAAAAGCCACACTCAATGGGCCAAAGAGCCGCAGTTTGCCAACCCCTGATCTAGGCTATCAGGAGTCATGCACCTGCTTCCCCTCCCACAGCTCGGCGCCCAAGCAGCACCCGAGGGCCCCATCCCCTGGCTTATCGGAGCGCTTTCGGCCTTCGGGGTCCCCCAAAGCCCTGCCCAGAGGAGCTGGGGCCCTCGCTGATGCCTGCAGGTGGGCAGGCGCCCGTTCCTGCAGTAGGGACCCCGGCTTTTCGCCTTCTGGGTCGTCTTGTTGATACGAGTCTAGAGGGGGACGATCTGCTCCTTATCAGGAGGAAAAGTGCCCAGGGAAATGGTAAACCCACCCAACCTCGGGGCGCCCAGCCCTCCACCAGTCCTTACCTGGCTCGGTGCGGCCCCCCAGTCTCCCCGCGGGGGCTCCGCGCGCCCCGCCCCGTGGTCGCCACCGCCCCTCGGGGGCCGGGCGCCCGGAAGCTCCTCCCCCGGCCGGTGGGGCCGCGGGGGTGGCGGCTGCAGCGGCGGGGGCCCGCTGGTCTCCCAGCCGCGGGCCTCCCGCTCCGCGCCGCCCGGGGCGCCGGTGTCCCCGCCGTCGTGGCGCTTGCGGGGCGAAGCCGAAGGCTCCGTCATCGCCGCCGCGTCCACTTTGCGCTTTCGGGGCAGCTCCGGGGCGCCGAGGGGCGGCTGCCCGAGGGGCGAGGCCGCGGCCGGCGGGACCCAGAGCGGCCGAGGCGGCGGCTCCTCCGGAAACTCGCAGAGCAGGAGCCGCTTCCAGGGCACGTGGAACGTGAGCGGCTCCGCCGCACGCCGCTTGGCCATGGGCCCGGGAGGCTCGGGCGGAAGCCGCCCGGCGCGGGAGGCCGAACGCCGGTCGCCGCGGAGGGCGGGGCCCGCGCGCGCGGGGGAGGGCGAGGGCTCCGTCGGGGCCGGCAGGCCGGCGGCGGGAAGGTGGGACGGCGGCCCTGGAGGGGGAGGAGCGGCCGGGCTCGCCGCCGCGGAGGTGGGGCCGGACGTTGGGGGAGTAACCGCCGCGCCGCGCCGCGCGGAGATTCGAACCTGCCCTCTGACGGGAGCTCGCGCGCACGCGCCGCGCGGGCCGGGCCGCTGGTTGGTGGAGGCTCGAGGGACGCGCTCCCGAGCGCCTCCGCGGCCGGAAGTGCGCGCCGCAGGGGAAGACGGGAAAGCTGCGGCGCGTTTCTTAAAGGCCCGACCTGGTCTCGGGCTTGTTTTCCTGGGGCCGAGGAGGATGTGCGTGTCCCGCGCTCGGTAAAGCTGTTTAGACTTAAAACCTTCAACATCTACGTGTTAATATTTCCTTTCCTTGAGTCAGCAGCGAGGCGGATTAAAACGATATTGTACAAACTTTTATTGAACTGGGGTTAGGGCCCTCGCACTACGTTAGGTGCTGAGTGGAGGCGGACTGTGCAGGGGCGGGGCTGAGGGGAGTGGCTGAAGCCGACCCGCAAACACGGAGGAGAACCCAGCGGGTTGTTTTGAAGGGGCTTCTGTGGGAAGGGAAGGAGACCATGCGTTCTTTGAAGATCTTTTCATTAAAAATGCATCGATGAGCCGAAACCGGTTTGGCTCAGTGGATAGAGCGTCGGCCTGCAGACTGAAAGGTCCCAGGTTCGATTCCGGTCAAGGGCATGTACCTTGGTTGTGGGCACATCCCAAGTAGGGGGTGTGCAAGAGGCAGCTGATAGATGATTCTCTCTCATCGATGTTTCTAACTTTCTCCCTTTCTATAAAGAAATCAATAAAAGATTTTTTAAAAGTTTATTTTTATAGTGGTTTTTAAAATTTTACAGTTACACAATTGGCACTCAATATTATATTAGTGCCAAGGAATTTATATATCTTTTGTTAAGTTTATTCCTTGGCTGTTTATAGTTTTTGCAAATAGTGCCCCCCCTCCCCCTTATGGCTCAGTGATTGACTTCGACCTGTGAACCGTAACATAAGGTTACGGTTTGATTCCTGGTCAGGGTACATACCTGGCTTGTGGGCTCAATCCCCAGCAGGAGGCAGCCAATCTTTTACTGGGGATTGAGCCAAACACCTGGGCATGTGCCCTGACTGGGAATCCAAGCGGACCTCCTGGTTCATAGGTTGACACTCAACCACTGCTCCACATAGGGCAGGTTTTTACTTACTATTCTATATGCTCAGAACACCCTGTATCTGGTTCTTTTTAATGCCCCAATACCAAGCCTGGTGCCTTACACAATACAGAATATCAACAAATATTTGTGGAGCAAATAAGTGAAGACTACACTTGTGAGGCTAGAATACTGGTCAGGTCTATCTTTTTTATTCCATCCTTCCCCAAGCTGTCTGCGATGGAAGTGCCCTGCTCTTCACCTCCCCACAAAAGGACAGGTTGAATTTTTAATAAGAACTTAGTACAATTTTCAGCAAACAGGTTGCCTATAACTAAAATGTTTAATGATAGTTTATGTTGGTGAAGATATAAACAGATATGTTCTCATTTGTTTTATTGATTTCAGAAAGAGGAAGGGTGAGGGATAGAGATAGAAACATCAATGACGAGAATCATTGATTGGCTACTTCCTGGGTGCCCCCTACTGGGGATCGAGCCCACAACCTAGGTATTTGCCAACTGGGGTAGAACAGTGACCTCCTGGTTCATGGGTCAATGCTCACACAGGCAGGGTGCTCTTCTCGATTTAAAGAGCCTTCTGGAACCATCTGTGAAAGTTTTAAAAAGCACATGCACATTCAGTAATTCTACTTCTAGAAATGTATACTCCAGATATAGTACTGATAGTGGACACGAAGAGGTATGTACAGGATTATTCATTGTAATACAATGCTGGATAGCAAAAGATTGAAAATAAAAATGTTACTTTTCAGTAAAGTATAATGTCTGTGTATAGATACCTAATAGTAAAATGCTATGTTACTAAATTTATGTGTATGCATATAGAACAATCAGCAAAACAGAAAAGCAAGGTGCACAGTAATATATATAGGCCACAAAGATATTAAAAAGGAGAGGATATATATGTATATTAAACACATGTATATGTGTGTTTCTTTTGGTATTGCACAGTTGATCCTAGGAGGATGCTGTTATCAATATTCATTGGGGTGGGATACGAGGAATATGGGTGGAGGGCATGAAACACAACTTTGGCTTCAGATTATCTTGGTGTCACTGGTGTCTTGTGTGGGTGGGGAGTTACTACAGGCCAATAGAATTTCTGACTTATCTTCTGTTGGGAGACAATTTTCCATGGGTCTTTTGTATTTCAGTGCATCTTACAAGCAGAGGCTCTGGCTGCCTTTATTACAGATGATCTTTTCAAGGATTGTGTTTAGGCTTGAAATATAGATGTTATCTCGCTCTGAAGCTAAAGGTGGTTTGTCTACTATCCATTATATCTTCATCTAGGGCAAAGAGTTAGGCACATGTACTGTTTGTCTATCATGAAAGATACAGCGTTGTAAACGGATCCTCTCTGATGCATTGGCATGTACTAGTATCACTAGCACTCTGTGTCAATGTGAGTTGGGCTTCAGGAAACTGGTTCAAAATCAATACTCTGGCCACTGCTGCTGCTATAGATTCTTTTACTTTCCTGTAGGAGTTTTGTGTCTTCTGCTACTATAATATTCCTGAAATTGGCAGTCTTACGCCTCAATTTAAATGCCACACAGACATGGAATCTGGCCTCACCAGCAGCTTGAGCCAGATGGCACAATTTTGAAGCATAGGGAGTTATCTCCCCAGAGCAAACTGTGACAAGTAGATAAAATTTCCCTCTCCTTCTGATGGACTATTTTTAGACAGAGTGCTTCTTTCCAGAGATGTCCCCATGTTGCCAGATGAGTATTTGTTTGTGAATGCAGTAGTTGGCTTGGTAACAACTATATTTTCTTGTTCAGTGCTTCTTTGTAATCTAAAAATCATATATTTTTTAAAATTATCATTACTGCTGGCTCTTGACTAAAAGATAACTCCCCTAAGCTCCTGGGTCTAGATGACTGATTGGCTAACCTAATGGGGTCCAATGGGTTGCTGTCAGTTTAGCTTCGGTTCCAGCTTTGTAAAACCAAAAGCAGATGTGGGCACTTCTCAGTGGCTAGAACTCAGAAGTAGTCCTCATGGTTAATTCTCCCCTTGACAAGCCTCACTACATTTTTACTAACCTTTGCATTGCTGCCAATGGCTTGTTGGGACTGACAGATTCAGACACCATTCTTTGGCCATTAATCTTACATAAATTGCTCAACTTCCTGATGGTTAAAGGAATGAATATGAAAATTAGATCCCAATTTTTCCTATCACATTGAGAAGAAGTAAAAAAATTAGCAATGTCCAGTATCAGCCAGGGAATGGATGCTATATCTGGTTTCCTTTATGGTCTTTTTCGATTATTCAACAAAACCAAAGATTGGGATTAATTAGGATACGGCCTAGCATACTTAAAGACCAATTACTCATATTGACTTTCTAGAAGTACAGAGAAGATAATCCACGGGTTCAAAAGTATATGTGCTCAACTAATTGAAATTGCCATGTCTGTGGTTACCACTAATTTAAATGGAAACAATCAACCAAATAATGTTTCATAGCAACTGGCAGACTTTAATCAAGAAAAATCAAGTCCATCATACACATTAAAAATATAGGAAATTTCATGCAGAGATGAAGCTTCCAATTCAGCCTTTGTGGCATCTTTTAGAATGAGAATTACATATAAATACAGTACATTTTACAATTCCAAAACTTCATAATTTTATACTGTGATTTATACAGCTTCTCTTTATACTTTGCTCATTTGCTTTACATACCGTAACCTGCACCACTTCAGTCAAATTATGGAAAATAATAAAACCCAGAATGGCCTATTTCCTCCAGCTTTATGAAAATGAATGAAAATATATGTATAAAGCTAATTTAAGAAAAAAACTAAAAAACGTTTAAGGCTTACACACTTTAGTAGGACTACATATAAGAAATACAAAATTAAATCCTCCAGTGACATTTCCATTACTGATATCATAATCTTCAAGTTTAGAATATATCAACTGAGAGAAAAAAAAAAAAGCAATGTAGAACATTAAAAGTATTCATAATATGGGGGAGAAGTAAAACGGATTTCAGAATTAACTAAAATGTAGGCTATAATTTATAAATAAGTAACATTATTAAAGAATAAAACCTGATAGCATAAGTGTTAATAAACCCAACCCATGTGTCAACTTGTTTTTGCCTTGTTGAGAAGAACAAGATCATGTTTTGATGTTTTTATAAAAGTGAATACCAGTCAGTGAATAAAAAGCTTTTCTAAATCATTCAAAAACAGCTTGCATTTCTTCCAGATTTTTAAAATACCTATGTTCCTTTTCATTCTTTTTCTTAAAAATAATTTTGGGGAGCAATTTATTTCAAGTTTATTCATATGGTAGAAAATGAGAATTCCCACTAAAGAACATTGGCCAAAAAAAGAGAAATAATTAAAAACAAAACAAAACAACCACCAAAAAACCCTCAATAGGTATAGGCTTCCATAAATTGACGAGTCAAATTAGCTTCATGTATCCCTTTATTGCATAAAGGGCACAAGAGCTCCCATACTTAGAAGCAGAAAAACTCCTTTTGATAAGATGTCAAATCATGTAGTGACCCTCCCAACCCACATGACCATATAAAGGTCCAAACTTCCAAGTAAATTTTCCTAATAAAACATGACATTTATGCTTCCAGCACATTACTGGGATTAAGTCTAATCCAAATTGCCACAGAGGTCGCTTAATGCCATTATAATTACCTGTAAAAATACTCAAACATACTTTTCTCCAAGAAAAGGTTAAAACATTATATTTGTCATCTCTACTTTCCAAGCTACAGGAAAACAGAATGATGAACATAAAATACAAAGGGAAACCCCCTCCAATGAAGATCTGCTAGAGGTAGAAATTTAAAACAGCACAGACTGTTTTAGCCCTAGCTATCAGGGAAC